GTAATGTGGAATTCACATTTGCTTAATTTACATAGCAAATCGACTTTGATTAAATTTTTAAGAATATTATTAATATCTTTAATATATTGAACCTTATTATTTAAATATATTAGGATATCGTCCAAATAGTATATATAACAGGTATTCAAGTATTACAATAGTATATTGTTTATAAGTTTTATAAAAATAATTAGTGTGTTTGTTAGTCCGAATAATATAATTTGATATTTATATAGTCTATATTTTGTTTTAAAAACAATTTTTCATTCCTTGTCTTTCTTTATTCTAATCAAGTAGTATCCGTTTTATAGATTCATCTTAATAAATATTATTGTTCTACCTAATTGATCTTTTAATTCCATAACTAATAGAAATGAATATCAATCTTTCTTTATAAGCATGTTAAGCTTTCTGTAATCCACAATTAGTTTCTTAATACTATCTTTCTTAAGTACCCACATAGTTGGATTTACTACTTGAAATATAAATTCTCTAATCTATCCCTTAGTCAAATTATCATCAATATATTCTTTAAATATTTTTAGCTTATCAATTGATATTAAATAAATTAGAGTATGTATAGGTATCTTATCTTCCTTCAATATTATTTTATAATCCTATGATGTTACGACGGCATCCAACATACCGCGTCACATGACATAAATTACACGTGATGGAGCGTCAAGGAGCTTCAGCGCTCCTGGAGCGCGTTGCGATCCTTAACGATCCAACATATAGGAGAGGTCCTAGGGACCAGGAGAGAGAACGAAGGTCTATATAAGGGAATGGGTTTCATTACAATGTAGAGCTTCGTGCTCAAGAACAATCATTAGTTTCATTACTATAGTTACGAGAATTGCAACCAGTTACCAACCTTATTGAATTCCTACTTGAAGTTTAGTCTAAACCACCTCGAGAGAACTCTAGACACTTCCACGTGACCCTAGAGGCAGCTCCCGTAACATATGACTTGTATTCTAATAAAGCCTTATAAATCCTTGGTTCTTTGAAAACATATTTGTATTTCTTGTATTGTTCTAGTATTATAGGCTTCTTTACCTTGATTGCGATTTTTTGCTATATCGTTAACTTTTGTATTTATAAAGAAGATATACTGGCCTTTGTTTTTAATAAAGAACCCTGAACTAAGTGTCCTACATTATCAGGGTTGTTCGCATTCAATTCCCCTTAGCGCATATTACATCTCACAAACGCCTTAAATGTATCATTATAACCATCCTTATACTAATCAAATATCATTATTCCTTATAACTAATCTATTCTGAGATTATATACCTTCAACTATAACATTCCTAAGATGATCTATTATTGGCCTAATAGTACAACATCAAGCTATATAATTTTTAAATGTTGGATTATATTCATTCATACTGATTATATCTTTTATAAAACATTTCCATCAAATTCTATTAACTATCCGTCAACTAACTATAATTAATAAAGGTTTTGTTTCTTTTGGAATAGAACTTCCAAGTACTTTGTAGCTTCTAATATAATAAAATTTCCTATAGTTTTTGAATCTATTATAACTTACTATATTTGTTCGTTTATTTTGATTCTACAATATATTTGTTCTACTTATCCTATAATATTCAATTGTAATGTAATTTGCTCATTTTTGTTATTCTAAATGATCTTATCCTCTAATGTTACCCATCGAGGCTTTTCTTCTTCTAAATAAATAACACTAATTCCTGATCTAATCTTATCATTAAGTAAATCCTTTTATAAAGTATATCAACATATCCCTCAGGTTACTTTTATTATTATCCCTATTACCAATAGTAATAGTATAGCCTAGATCTAAACATAATACTCTTCTCTAACCTTTCTATAAAAGAACAGAATCTAATCCTTATTGTTCTCCGACATATAATAGTAGAAGATTTCCCATAGCTTCCCTTAGCTTGGTCATTCTAGATGTTTATTATTAATTCTCTTTAAAAAGAATGAATTTGTAATAATTCCAAATTATAGGATTTGATGTTAATCGATATACCGGACCTTGTAAGTCTCACCCTTTTTAGTATTCATTATATTAAGGTTATAGTTGATAATTCCTTTATTAATATCTTCAAATCTCTAAATACAACGGTTCCATTAATCGATTTATTGAATAGTCTATAATTCTTCTAACTATAGGTCTTTGTTTACTCATAAGAGGTATTCGATCTTTTCTTCTTCTTCAAGCTTTTCTTTGTAAATTGATGATGATATAGCTAGCCCTATTATATTAACAATACACAATTGTAGTATGAAGATAGTATTAAGTTAACCTTTATTAAACTTATTTTTAAAGTTACTCTTTTTACCCTTTGTTTTCTTGTTTCAATATTCTATTACTTAATATTCTACTTTTCCATATTCAAAGTATAAGTTATTTTCTTGTCTTTATTTCTTTTCTAAATCATTATTCCCATCTTTGTAGTATATAGTATTGAGTTCTATAGAATCTTTATATCTCTATAGATTATAATATGATTTATTCTCATTTTTACAATAACACCTTTGCTTTTGATTTCCCTGGGGTTTGTATAATCATTAACTTTATCGATATCGATAAAGACGATTATTTAATTCGATAAAGTTTTAAATTAGATTGTTCAAGTTTACACTCTTAATAAATCTTTTTAATTCCAATTTAAATTCTAGTTTAAGTCCTTTATAGTAATAACTTATGATAACAATTTCATTCTACTTGGTTATTCTCATATATCTTCAAAATTCTGTGGTATACTTCAATACTAATCCTATCTGCTTGAAATTAAAGATCTTATCTTTTGTTACCTCTAGCTTATTAGAGTTCTTAAAGATTCTACGAATTTCTATCTTAAATCCTTCAAAACTATTGAAGATTGTTCAAATGGATTATATATAATTCTATTCATTATACTCGAAATAATCTCATAAATATAATTAAATCTACTTACTTACTTTTTCTTTAAAATAGAATATAGTCTATACACTCTTGAATTCCATAGCTATAAACTTATCCTTATTAAATCAAAAATAGATTTCTAATTACAAAAGGAAAATATCGAGTTTCTATCAATTATCTTAATACTTATCTAATAAGACAATCTTAAGAGTTTCGTTAATAATAATCTTCTATAAAATATCAATCATCTCGATATCGTTAATATCTGTTGTTAATGTAGATTAACTTATAGCGACATTTTTAATTATTATATTTAATAATAGATTATCGAATCAATACTTGAAACAAAAAGAATACTCAAAGTATTACAGAAGCTGTCTTTAAGATCACATGAAAATGTCTAGAGTTCATTTGAAATAGTTTTAGATTAGATTTCAAATAGAAATTCAATAAGGTTATAATTAATTACAATTCTCATAATTATAATAATAAAACTAATAATTATTCTTGAGCATGAAGCTTTACATTGTAATAAAACCTATTCCTTTATATAGATTTTCATTTTTGCCTGAATAGTTTGAGTAGATTGTTTATCCTGTCTATTCACAGATAGCCTGGATAGCTTACCTATCCCATCTATTCATCACGTAATACTTGCCCTATAACCTATATGATATTATTACTTATCTAATCTATACTTACTAAATAACCTATAATCATTATCCCTTCAATACCTATTGTAGGATAGGTACCAACAAAAGATAGATACCTATTTTTTAATTATTACTTATTAATTTGGTTACCACTATCTTTAATTATCCTTTAATTCAATTATCCCTTCAATACTGTTTTCGTAGGTTCCAATACTAAGGCCTTAGGTTTATCTTATAATCTATGTTGCGGTGCGGGTACCTCCGTAACACTATATCCTCGTAATAGAATATAATATAATATAAATTAGAGAGTTATTTCGAAAAAACTCTTCTTAACTTTTCTCATATTCTCTTCTTTTATTTTATATATAAAATTTATTTATATATAATCATATATTTTCTTTATTAGCTTATAGAATTCTATGAAAATTTAATAAATAAATTCAAATTATATTAGTATTATGAAATTTTTTTTATAGAAAGTTTTGATTATTGTAAAGTTGTTAGAGAAAAAGAGTATTTATAATATAAAGTATAATATGCTCGAGTTAAAATGAATTATTTAGAAAAAAAATTAAATATTATAAATATTTTATTTTTAATATGATTTCTTACATATATATAAAGATTAAAAATTATAATTAATTATTAAAATATAAATATTAAAAAAAGCTCGATTTTAGAATATTTCTAAAGTAGTCTATATGATAATATAGTCTATATGCTGATGAATTACGTTAGGTATAATATATAAATCATATAATATGTAGTTTGTTAGTATGAGTATTTATACAGAGTATGAATAAAGTAACTATGAATATTCATATATTATATTTATAATTTAATGTCTCTTTCGAAGTATAAGAAGAGGTCTTTTGAAAAGTATTAAAAGTACTTTTATGGGAAAATAGATGTAAGTCTTATTTTTCAATGAGAAATTTTTAACACTTTTTTTTTAGTTAGTATATTCAAAAATCTCAAAAGTAGAAGAGATACACCCTTTTGCCCTTTGGCAAAGGCCTGTGTTGTATGTTAGCACGACGCACCTGTTTGGTTTAGCGCCGCGGGGAGAGAGGAATTATGTCATAGGTATGAGTAGCTAGGTAGGTGGTAACTTGGAGCTCAATCAATCGATTAATATTCATCTATCTATTACTCTGCAGGACAGTTTGTTGATATTCATTATTTATTTGTTATTTAGAGGAATCGGATTTAGAATTTCGAGCTTGGGAAGCTTTATTACTGAGAGATTGAGGAATTGAGGAAGTTCTTGGATATTATATCTAGGTACTGATATATTAATCGAATCGAGAATTGAGAATCAAGAATCACAAACTCAAACAACTAAACACGCGTGCGATAGAACTTGGAAGCATCAATTGCATTTATATCCACATCAACACATACATATATACATATAATACAGTACAATACGATACGATATCACCATGATCCCATCAAATCTCAAACACATACCGCGTTCGCTTTCCAAGAGCTCGTCACCATTCTCCAGAGCCATCTCAATATCTATATCTACATCCTCTCCAATGCCAGCGATACTACATTCAAGGAGACAATTCGCCAGTACCGCTTCAAAGAAAGATCAAAATCGGATATATTCTCCGTATGTTCCTCTCTTCTCATTCCCCCATCAAATCTCCCAACCCCCGCTAACCCCCTCCTCAAAACAGAATCCGCTACCCCCCCGACCTATCAACCTACATTAGTCTTTCCACCTCAACCTCCAAACCCCTTCTCACCCTCTGGACCACAAGCTACTGCTCCACCTGCAAAACGCTCTCTCCTCTCCTGCACCAAATCCTCGAATCGGGAGTGGGGGAAAAAGAAGGAGGAGTGCTGTTTGCGGAGGTGGAATATGATGCCCCGGATATTATGAATGAGGGGTTGGGAATGAGGTATTTGGTCAGGAGTGTACCGAGTTTGGTGGGGTTTTGGAGGGGGGAGGTGATGGGGGAAGGGGAAGGGGGAAGGTTAGGGAGTAGAGAGATTGCGGAGTTGGGGAGAGAGGGGTTAGAAGAGTGGATTAGGGGGGCGGCAAGGAGAGGGAGGGAGTGGAGAGAGGGGCATCCGGGGGGAGAGGGACTTTTTGGGGGGTTGTGGAAGGGGTGGGGGAAATGAGAGGGGGGGGTTTGGTAGTTGGATTTGGATTTGGATTTATGTATAGATAGATACTTGGTTGGTGTATGCGTTATTGTATATTCCCATGTTCCCATGTTCCCATATTATTGAACGGGATTGAATTGAATCAAATGGTGCCAAAATTCACATGTGTCTATATGTAGGTATCTACAGCACCAATTCAATTTATGTAATTTATCCCTCTATCGTCTAATTCTATTGGTAGAAAATATCTGTATTTATACATTTATATATATCTCACATCAAGCATATCAGTATCTCAATCAAACCTCTCTATCTCAATTCCCCATCAGCATTCCATCCACCTATTACCTATTATCCCCCATCCAAACTCTCCCCATCCATCCACACTCCAACCCATCTATCCAAATCCAAACAACAACAACAACAACAATCAAAATGGGGGCAAGCCCCCAAACCCCCTAGCTCACTGCGCTCGAAGATGATGCTTTTTGTGTATTTTTTTGGTTTGTTTGTATGTTTGTTTACCTATCTAGTAGTCTAGTGAGCTAGCTAGGTTCGTGGGTAGATAGGTAGTGAGGCAGTGAGGTAGATGGGTAAATGAATAGATGGGTAGATAAATGAATGAATAGTGAAATAGTCTGCCTCCATGGCAATGGCCCCCGGAGGGCCAGCGGAGCGTCATTTTGGAAGGGAGATGGGGGGGGAAGTTAGTGCAGGAATGAGAGGGAGAAAGTTGGAGTGGAAGTGGGAATGGGAGGAGTATGCTATTATAGCTTTGAGAAGTGGAATTGAAAGCGAGAGAGAGAAAGATAAGATAAGAATAGAGGAGGAAAGAGAGTTGAAGTAGGAAAGTTGGAGTGAAAAGAGAATAGAGAAATAGAATGAGATATTGATGAAGAAGAGAAGAGAAAAATCCAGTATGAAACCCGAAATTCCAATCACAATATGGGAAAAAGAAGAGATGGGATTGAAGATGGATTGGAAACTGGGATGGAAATATTGGAAAATTTATATTCATATCCATATCATAGAATCACCACTCGTATTTTCATAGACTTTTGACTTTGATCTGGATTTTGAGCGTGGATTGAAGATCGTGTTAGATCATATTGTCATATCTTGTTCTGTTCTGTCTTATCTTTGAGATTTTTATTCTGTTGCTTCCTGCTCTCTTCTCCTTCCCCTTCTCGCTTGTGTCCTGTCTCTTGTTTCTGTTTCAATTGCCGTCATAATCGTGATTTCATTCCATCCCATCCAGTCATAACACATCACATCACAAATCCCTCATCCTCAGGAAATATAAACAAATCCCCTCCCTCCCCTTCCCTCTCCTGCTCTCCCCTCTCTAAGCAACATAAAACACCTCCTCGACACCCTTCCACCACCCCCTCTCATCCGTACTCCCTGTACTTCCCTCCACCAGACTCTCCTGATACGAATCCGTCATGGCCCACCACTCGCGTACTTTGGGATTTTCTCGCATCTTCTCCATGTCTCCTGCATAGTCATAGCCGACGTATTTGAATGATGCGAAGAGGAGATTGTGTTGGGGATCGTAGTGGATGGAATCTTGATGGGGGGTTAGTTATTGAAGTTTTAGGTTTATTTGATTGGTTGATTACTGTTTCGAGGATGGGAAGAAAGGAAAGGAAGAGAGGGGAAGAGGAAAGGACAGAAAAATACAATCTTCCATATAACACTCCTTAATCTGTTTCAACACCTCGGGCCAAACCCGTGCATGACACTCCTTATACAATTCCACGCATTCGGGTTTAATCTTTACAATCTGCGCGATGCGTTTCCCTTGATTCTTTAATTTTTGGGTGGGAGCGGGAAAGGTTCCTGAGGGGCCGGAGGGGGTGAGAGGGGAGAGGGGAGAGAAGGGATGGGATTGTGAGTGAGAGGATCGGTGGGAGGATTGAGGAGGAGGGTTGCGTGGTGACCACATTTTTGGGGAAGGAGAACGAGGGTTTGTCCACATTTTGGTGGTGGTGGTGGTGGTGAGGAGTATAGAGGTGAGTTGGTAAAGGAGTGAGGTTGATAGGTGAGTGATCTCTCGACAATGGTTCGAAGATATAGTGTCGTGTCGTTGTCTTGTACTGTCTTGTATTGTATTGTATTGTATTGTATTGTATTGTATTGTATTGTATTGTAATGTGATAATATACAATGTATGTCAAAGCAATGTATATAGTAAAGACAAAAACAAAGTATAGAATCCCCAGAAGCTCTCTCGCGAATCTTAACCCGAGTACGCAACTCCGAAGCGAAGGTATTCTACAAATCGGCGATATGGTCGGGATTGGATTGGGTTGGATTGGATTGGATTGATGCGGGGTCTTTTTGGCTGAGCGAGCTGAGCTTGCTTTCAATACTACGTAGGTACGTACTTGATTTGACTTGATTTTGTATCGGTACTCTCTCTATCTACTTTGACAATAAATAAATAAATAGTCTGAGATGAAATATAACTTCCTTCACACAATCTACTCGGATGGAAAATTATGCGGAAAAATATAAGATCGTCTAGATGTATCACTTGGAACTGTAGGTTTGTAGAGACTCGTATGATGAGTTGTATACCTAGGGACAAAGTATACAAGTATCATAGGACGGACTCTAGCTACATCGTACAAGTATCTTCTATTTGTTCATCATCACAATAGCCCCTCATTGCCGATAGGTAAGGTTATGGATGCAAGGAGATTTCTAATCGCTCCCACCGATTTCTGAGAGGATTCCTCAAACTCCGAAAAACGCAATGGGGATCTCTCCACTCTTATGTAGGTAGTACTGTAGATTCAAGCGTTGGATGCTCCGAATTGAATCCGCCCGTGGAAGTTCCTGTTGTTTTGGTTTGGGATGGATGGCTCATGGATGGGTTATGCTGGAGCGAAGAGCGAAGAGCGAAGAGCTAGATGACATGGCATTCACAGCTTGGTAGGAGGGAGGGGAGGGTTAGCTGGGTAGGTAGATGGACCCCACGCGTTGGAGCTTTTTGATGAGGAGGAGGAGGAGGAGGATAAGATATGATGAGGACGAGTGTGAGTATGAGTATGAGTATGAGTATGAGATAAGATGGAGTAGATTAAGTAGAGAGTACAGAAATTATATATTCTTATATAAATTCGAGGGCTTGATTAATTAGATATAACATGTTATCATATTTGTAACTAGACTATCATTAGCATTGCTAGTATCCAATAATCCATTGATTGTAGGTAGAAGTTGGAAATAAATAAATTACAAAATATTGATAAGTTATCAGTCCTTACTGTAATCTTCAACCTATCTTGCTTCCGGTGAGCTCACGTCCTAGTTTCCTCGAGTACTTTGATCAAACGAGAGTAATTTCTCTAAATATTCTATACAATGTTGCATGCATATTCCAAGTATTCATCTCTTACTACCTACCTAGATATATAGATATATACAATAACACTAATGAATATCAACATTCATTTCAACCCCTCCTTATTAAACTCTTCTCATTCATTCATCACCAATATCAATATCAAAACCCAATCCTCCAAATCCAATTTTCAACCATATTTTTCGCTAACAAAAAGCTTCAATCTAAACCCCACCATTCATCCATTCATATCAGACATCATCATCCCGCCGTGCCCGCCAAATTTTATTTTCTCAATCTCATCATCTTCTCACGTGCATGTAATTTTTATATCTTTTTTTTACTTCTGAATATCAGATCAGATAAATTCATATCAAATCATACCAACCATAAACCTTCATTCAATTTCCAATCCAAAGTACAAATTACAACCAACAAACCATCCGCCAAAAACCACCACACCACCAACCTCCCAAACCACCCCTAAATCCCATCACACACCCACACATCACGCATCATATCGCACCTTACCCAAGTCAAAGCCAAATCCAAAAGCCAAAAAATTATGTCCACCACCACCCGTTCTATCCCACCACTCTTAACACCCTACCTTTCTCTCCCCTCCGAATCCTCTTTGATTCTCCTCACCGGTGTATTGGGCGCAGGTACAAATTGGCTTTTATTACGATATCTGAGTGCGATATTTTCATCTACGGGGCAGAAAAATGGAGGTGGAGATGGAATGAGTGATGGGGAGGGAGAGACAAAAGTGGTATTTTTGAGTTTTATGAGGGATATGGGGTTTTGGAGAGAGGGGGCTAGGAAGATTGTATGTTTTTTTTCCTTTCTTACTCTTTGTTCGGGGAGGGGGGGGGGGGTTGGATCTTTCAAATTCTTGGGGTGTTGGATATTGGAGAAAGGGAATGATGAAGGGATTTTAAAGGGGTGTATGAGTTTGAAGATATTCGAGGATTTTAGGAGGGGAATACAAAGTTGTATTTCTTACCTTGCCTATACTATAATCGCTGAATTTTCTCAAGCGAGAAGAGAAATCAACAAATGTGAAGAAAAGAAAAGCTACTCTAAACTCCAAACCTCCAAACCCTCCTCTACTCCCACCACCCACTTTTCATTCTTCTCCCTCCCATCCATCCATCTTCTAAATCCTCACTAACATCCCACCCCAGAATCTCGACCTCGACAAATTAACCCAACAATCCCGGTTTCTCTTCCTCGACGGCCTCAGCTCCCTCCATCTGCCCCAAACCCAACCTCCCAGTCCCAGCGCCGGGTCAGAAATCCCCCTCAAATCCCCCCTCCTCCCCTCCATCTCCCTCCTCCTCAACAAATCCATCACCACCCTCTCCTCCACCCCCGGAAAAACAATCCTCATTCTCGACTCCCCCGATTTCCTCATCGCCAGTACTCCCTCCCCTGAAACCATCACTCAGGAATTAAATTCCCTCCTTCTCTCTCTCCGTTCTCTCCCAGCCATCCATTCTACCATCCTCACCCTCTCAATCGATACTCCTCTCCTCTCTCCTCACCCCCAATCACCTCTCGCAACCAATACCTCCGCATTTACCACCACACTTGCTCACGAGGCAGATTTGATTCTTAGTACGAGATTACTGGATACAGGCGCAGCGAGAGATGTAAGTGGAGTGTTACGAATTACGGCGGGGGCAAATCCGAGTGAGGGGATGGAAGGGGTAGAGGAAAAAGAACTTTTGTATTTTGTGGGTGGAGATGGGAGTGTGAGGGTTTTTGAGAGGGGACAGTAGGTGGTGGGGGTAGGGATGAATGGATATAGATTAGGGTAGTGAGAGACGAGAATTGTATTTTTATTTTTATCTTCATGTTTGTTGGGAGGGCTCATGAATATGGGTTTCCTAACTCTAGAGGTTACGATCTAGAGTAGTAAGAGAGATCATAGATGAATATCACGAGAAGAGAAAAAGTGGACATTGAAAAAAGCATTCAATTTACTATACCAGTAGTCTTGATCGAGAAAAGCAGAAATATATATAAATCTCAGTATGGAGAGAGATTAAATTCTCTATATCTATCTATCTTATTCAGAAATTAATGAATGAATTAATATCAAATACAAATGTAAATATAAATATAAATATATATTCGAATATAAGAATTCATTATATTAGATCATATCAAATTATATCAAATTATATCAAATTATATATATACTTTATATACATATTAGTAATTATAAGTATATATACTATATTATACTAATACATTACACCTTATATCAAGATGCTATGTATCATCATACATCCCATCATACATCCCATCATACATCCCATCATACATCCCATCATACATCCCATCATACATCCCATCATACATCCCATCATACATCCCATTATACATCCCATTATACATCCCATTATACATCCCATCATACATCCCCTTCCAACCTCCTTCCAACCAACAATCCTCAACCCCCAACTCCCGTACATTTGAAACCCCTCTTCTGCTTCACTTCACTTCACTTCACTCTAGACTCACTCTCCACCCACCTTCAGACCTTCCCACCATCTCCAGTATAGTTGCCGACATACCCATCTATTCACACCCTACCATACCATACCATTTACACCCTCCCTACCTACCTATCCACACACACATCATACCATACTACACACACCAAACCCTACCTTCTACTTACCACCACCTACCTACCACCTACCTAGATGTAAATAATCTACATAAACTTCAAGAACAAGGATAGTAAAACAATTGGCCTGCAAAAGAGAAAAGACATCTTTGACATTCGTCATTCGTCATTCCTCAATCCTCACTCATCATTTATCGTCTATCTACCTTCCAATATCAAATTCCCATTCATATTCCCATTCATCACAAAATCCATATTTCAATCCATAAACCAAATCCCATCTACACTTCACAAACCCAAAACCTCACAAATCACAAAAAGAGAAAACAATTCTCATCATCACAAAATTCTTTGAATTGCAAACGATGGAATTTTTGCTAGAGAACATGTCATGTAATGTCATGTCTGTAAAAAAAAATTGGCATGCACCCAACCCACTTCATACCCTCATACGATCCACGAAGACATTCATGCGACCCGAGTTTTTTGAACTTCGCATACACTCATTAAAAAAAGATTCCCTCAATAAATGTAGCTTTCATTCCCAGTTCTCTAGCAGATCAAAAAAGCCATTCATTCGCCAACCCTTTCGTCGCTATTGAATCCATCCCACGCAAGCAAACCAAATTGTTGTAAAACATTTACTCGGATTTAGTGGCTGGTCCTCTAGCTCCCTTTGGTACACCGGTTTGGAATCCATTCTTGAATCTTCTTGGAACTTCCTTCATGTGACGCATGCGACCGGTACCGGTGGTCTTTCTTCTCTTGGCCTTCTCACCCCAGTTATCTATTTAATGATATATTAGCATATATTCGTATTGTTGTTCATCTGTTCATTTCTCCTCGGTGAATCGATGATTGGAGGTAGGAGTATATCGTGTAGATTTCTGAATCGATTTGGTGATAAAGGTGGATGGATGGAATAAACGTACATTGACGGGTCTTGGCTGCTGGGTAACCGCATCCTGAACAGGTGTGCTTTTGGATGTGGAGAGATCTGCGACCTGTGAATTGAAACCAGAGTATATCAGCCTTGAATTCTTCATCTCGAACCTCATCCCAAATCCATAAAAATAAGTCCTTGATCAATTGTCCATCTCCTGATCCCCGACTTCATTTCCTCCTTCTCTCCGCCGCAAAGAATTGGATTCACAACTAACCGCAACGTCTGCACAAAGTGTGCGTCTTGTTGTGACGCTTTCCGAAACTGGAAGTTCCCTTGGCTGTAATTCAAATCATCATCAGTATTGATATCCTCGTTGATTGTTGATATATGATATATCGAGTTTCGAAGGTTACGCACTCATTTTGAATTAGGAACTGTTGAATTAAATTGTCAGCGATTATCTAGATAACAAGATGTATGATGGCACACAAATTGGCGATAACGTACCTTGGGGTTGTCGTGGGGTTGTCGTTGGTTTCAATATCTCGACTTTTTTTCGATGAGCAATGCAGGCTTAATCGCGAAATAGTGGGAAATTTGGAAAACCCTAACTCGATCATGTGATTATCGAAGCGAGATCTGGAGGACCGTGCAGGGTTGGAATTTTGAAGATGCCTCAGAACATAAACTCTTATCATATCAATCTTCAGTCGACAGTGAGGTTTGGTGAATATATATAAGTTAATGTAAGTATAAAAATGTAATCAAGCTCAATAGTAGAAAAGTTTCTATATTAGATTTTGATTTTAAGAATTGTCACATTTTCAGCGGTTCACAATAAATTTTCAATATCAAGGGCCTTTTGTAATGACGCTCCGCTGGCCCTCCGGGGGTCACTGTCGTAAAGGCAGAATATAAATTTCTAGAAAAAGATTGATTTTAATGAGTTCTTCATCTTCTATTCTTCTATTCACTCAAACACTATAAGCACCACCTCTCCGCCGCCTTTTTCATCTATTCAAGGCTGTCCGTGGACTGTTGTAAAGGCAGAATATTACTAGAATATTACTAGAATAATATATCTTAATAAATCCTCATTTTCTGTCCTTTTATTTACTTAATCTCTCCGCCGCCCTCTCAAGGCCACTACCGTGGAGGCAGAACAAAACCCTTCATTTTCTATTACTTCCCCTATTTATTCATAATCACTATTATAAGAATATAGTTTATAAAAATATTAAAATCAATTTCATTATTCCTCATCCTTCTACTCACATCATCTTTCCGCCGCCTCCCCTACTCATTCAAGATTACTATTTAGAAGCAGAACTTATAAAAATGAAGTATTAAGAATATTAATTTTATTTATTTATTTTTTCTTTTATTAGAATGTCTAGAATAAGACATCAAATTGAAACTTAGTATTCCTCATTTTCTATTACCTCCTTCACCTCTTCATCTACTTAAAACTATGAAGAAAGAATATATTATTAGAAAAAGACTAAACCTAGTTATTCTTCATCTTCTACTCTTCTACTCACTTATTAATCTCTCCGCCGCCTCCCTTACTCACTTAAGACAACTGACTATCGCGGAAGTAGAACTCTTGAAAATAAGTAAAATATCAAGAAAAGGTATAGTCACCGAGTACTACTACTAGTCACTTATTAAAATCATATTAAAATTCATTAAAAATTATAGAATATACTTCTAATTTTTAAATTTTAAGATTATTAGTTTATATAAATAATTATATAATTAGATTAAAAATCAAATGAAATTTATTAAAAAATATATTATTTATTTTTAATAATTTTTCATATTAATGTTACGGGAGCTGCCTCTAGGGTCACGTGGAAGTGGCTAGAGATCTCTCGAGGTGGTTTAGACTAGACTTCAAGTAGGAATTCAATAAGGTTGTAACTGGTTGCAATTCTCGTAACTATAGTAATGAAACTAATGATTGTTCTTGAGCACGAAGCTCTACATTGTAATGAAATCCCATTCCCTATATAGACCTTCGTTCTGAAGTCGACCGACAAGTCGACCGGCTTTTGATCACATGACACTTGTCCCATGATTCCTATTGTCCTAGCTTGTCCTTTTGTCCTGGAGTTTAATCCCCTGGGACATTACTAATCCTAGTGAAGCCTTCTTGCTTACTGTGTTCTGTCTTTCCTAGGACCTACTGTCCTGGGAACTATGTTCTAGGTTTCTAGGGTATCCTATGACTAATACTATATACATGCCTGAGGATTTCCTTGGATGCCTAGTGTCCCCCGGTATACTGCAGCTGAATCACTGAGGCCTATAATACCATTATAGCCTATAAGTTGGTGATTTCTACAGCCTGTTACTAATCCGTTGTAACAATTAAAGAATAATAAATTAAAACTAAAAGGAAAAAATATTCTTAAAATTTTGAAATTTGTTAATAAAATAAGCGAAAATCATGAACTTTTATAAATATGTTTTTAAATAATATAATCAATGATTTAAAAAAAATTCATAGAGTATCAAAAATATAATTTTATTAAATGTTAATATCGAAATAATATATATATTAAAATTCAAGTACAAATATCTAGTTTAAGTTATTGATTTTATATATAATAAAAGTAGTAAAATGGCTTTTTTAGGTGTAATTTTAATAGGTGACTAGTAGTCGTGCGCTAGTACTATATATCCTCTACTACTCATTATCGTCTCTCTCCTCCTCTCCTCTTCCCTCTATTCAAAATCTAATCCTCTTATTAAACCTCTTAAAAAGTATTCAATATCTAATATCCTCATGCTTACTCTTCATTCAATTAATTCTTATCCTCTATTCTTCTCTCTACTCATCTCACAGTCATTAAAGTAGAAGTCTTAATAACAAAATATTAAAATAGAATATTAGAAACAATATTTCTCTTCTCTTCTCTACTCTTCCTCTTAAAATAAAACCTTTCTATAAACTCAATCCACTTCTTCTTCTCCGGATACAGAAAATTTTCATAAGATAGATATCTCTCATATATTCCAAGAAAGAGAGGAAAAGTATTAGGATTTCACTTTTTATATGTATTTATATAATTATATAATACTTAAAAATATTTGTTGAGCAAACTTGGTAAGGTGTGTATACATAATATGTATGAGTAAAGGGTTGTTTATTTCTGTTTATCCTCTTTATACGAAAAGGGAATTGCTATATCTATATATGTATACTACCTTTACTTACGTACTTCGTGCGTATGTAGGGTAAAGTGTAATATTACATATCACGCCCTTGGTCATGTGTTCCGACAATACTATTCTAAATCCTAGATTCCATATTTCAAATCCTAAAATTCCATCATTCAAATCCTAAAATTCTTATATACTTTCAAAATAGAAATCCTTTCTAAAGGAGTTTGATTTCAAATTTTCAAATTTTCAATATACTTCGTTCATTTATATTTTCTTTCCTTCCTTTACTTCCTCCTTTTCTCTTTATCTTCCCTTCTTCATCTAATAGGCAAAATCAAGAAAAATTACTGAAAATTCCACTTTACTCTCCTTCATTCCCCTCCATCCTCTCAAAACCCCTCACTACCACCCCCTAAACCCAAACCTCAACTCATTCACTTCAAGATATCTCCAACTCCCCCCTCCGCCCCTCCCTTAAAAATAAACAGTAGTACATAATTCCACTTCCTTTTTATATTTACATTTACATTTATATAAATATTTATACAACATACTCGACGAAACAATTAAAGATGTATAGTATAAACTAAAAACATTTATAACTAAAAACATTTTTAAATAGAATAAGCTATAATTAATATATATGATTGATGAATATAATAATTATAGTATATAAAACTTAATAGAATGATTCTGCTATATATTATATATATAGAAAGAAATTGTTATACGGTTCAGATTGAAAATAAAAGAGAAGTAATATATTAAAGATATTGAATTAATGAAAATAAATATAATTTAATACTATCTTTTAGATTCTATAAATCTCTATCGATTTAGAATTATATATTATAAAACCTTCAAATTCTATTCAAAACCAAGTATAAATTAATTTAAAAAAAAAGTATTCTTTATTATTCCTTTTTTTATTAAAAAAAAGTCATTTAAAATAGAATTCAAAAAAGAGATTTGAATTTTCGAGTTTTTATATTTAGAATCTCTAAAATAAGCGAATTTATTCTTCTAAAAACAATAAATCTAATGCTTTTTTTATTACAAATAAATCTTTACAAAAATATATAAATTTGAAAATAGAGTTTTTATTTAATAATACATCTAAATTACTAAATTTTAATATTATAGCTATTAAATTAATTAAATTATTAAAGATTAAAAAGATATTAAAAATAAGCACTTTTCGAATTAATTTGATAATTTCAACTACTTTATTTTCAATTCTTTAAAACTTTAATATAGTATAATTATTATATTAATTGATTATATATGTTAGTTTGAGAAGAACATAGAAGACATAGTTATTAGTTCGAGAAGAATACGAAAGACATAGTACTTATAGTATTCGTAAGTTCTAAATGTCTATATTATATTCTATCTAAAGAGCTAGCTAAATATAGGAAGTCGTAGGCCTTATATAGATACTATTAAAAGAGCTAGTCTCTTTCGCATTCGTCTAAAGCTTAATATAGTAGTCATTAAATTAAAGTCATTCATCGACGTTTATATAATATATATTGATTCTAGTCTATTTTATCGAAAAGTATTAAAGTTATAATTGTTTTCATTTATATTATATATCTTTTATTGTTTCATCGAATAAAAAATAAATAAAATTTTTTCGATCTTTTTCTTATTCTTTAAAATTATAGTTTTATAAAATTGAAATTTAAGAAAAAAAAAAAGTGAAAAAGTTATCACATATTCATAAATTTTATTAAATTTCAACTTTAAAAGATTTCAATTTTATTAAATTCTAATTTTGAAAAATTTCGACTTTATTAAATTCCAGCTTTAAAAACCTATAATTTTACATAAAAAAAATTAATTTTCTAGAAAACCATTCATTTCCAAGATTCTTATAATATTCATTTCTAATAAATTCGATTTCCAAATAATTTCTTCAATATATCAAGTGAGTTTACTATAAAAACAATTAATTAATCTAAAAAACGCTCTTCTTATAGGGATTTTGTTATGAAAAAGAGTAGCGGGGCTTCAAATTTTCTATTCTATTCTCTTTATTCTTTCTCTCTTATTATTATCATCAATATCAATACCAATCCCCAGGTAGACACAGAAACTCTGTATGAACGTTAATCATTAGGATCTAGTAAATAGCTTCAATTCATTAGCTACCGTATTGCAAGCCCTCAGTGAAAGCGAAAGAGACTAGCTCTTTCTGTAGCGTTTATATAAGACCTATAACTTCCTATGTATAGCTAGCTCTCTAGATAGACACTTAGGACCTACGAATACCGTGGGTGCTACGTCTTCCGTATCCTTCTCAAATCAACAAAATCAAGAATCAACATCACAATCATCAAATCCAACATCAACATAAATATCAACACCAGAGCTTCAAAAGATTCATCTTGATTTTCTATGTACCCGACTATGTACTCGACTAACTATGTACTCGACTAACTATGTACTCGACTAACTATGTACTCGACTAACTATGCATTCTTCCTCCCCCTTCCCCTCCCCTCCCCATCCATCTCCACATTCATCTATCCTATCAAAAGAAACGGGTATCTAAAGTCTTCACCTCCATCCTCATCTCCGTCTCCACTCCATCTCCATCTCCACGTCCTTCCATTCAACTACTCCAATCCCTCGGACTTCCATCCCATACTATCCAGGCTCTTCTCTCTTCTCTCCATCTTTTAGTACATTATACTCCTTCAATTCTATCCGGCCGTTTCCCATGCACACATGAATGAATAATCTATTAACAACCCTCTCAATATATATATACACAGCCTCCATCTCCATCTCCATCTCCATCTCCATCTCCATCATCTTCTCCTCCCCATCGTTCAATATGTAAAATTCAAAAAGCACCCATGTACCATACCCCTACCCTCATATACGTGACCTCAAACGCCATCTCTCCCCCCAATATTCCCCTCTCAATCCCAACCATTTTAATCTCTCCCCTCCTCCCCTACACAACCACAAAACAATTACAACGTAATCAAGTCCACCTCCGAGAAATCTGGCGGATTCCTCCCATACACCACTCTCCCCTTCGCATCCAACGCCGCTCCCACATTACTAATCCAAATATTCGCTCCTGCATAATCTCTCGTCCTCTTAACCTCATCATCACTCACTCCAATATCATCTCTCGGAATCCAAACCACCGGTCTCCTAGCTCTCAACGCATAATGTTGAAACGCATGTTTAACAAGAGCATCTCTTTCTTCAGGCGCCAAATCTTCAATTTCATCATTATACCCACCATAAAGTGCATTTGCAATTTTTTGCTGCGCCTCAATATCTTTATGGCGCTTGCGCGTGAGCTGTGGGCGAATAACTGGTTCATCGATAGGTTGAGGACCATCGGTGCCAGCTCCACGAGCAAATGTTTTGTGTCGAAGATTTCGACCGGATTGTAAAGCCCAACCACCAGCTACAGCTGCACCATGTACAAGGTTTGATGGTTTAAGTTTGGCAAATTTACTAGCGCTGTTTCTATTTGTGGTTGTAGGATGCAGTGCGTCCATTTCAATGTATCCTGGTCCCTCGATACCAGCCCCATCATTTTGTGGTACTGTTTCAGGATCTGCAATAGTGAGACCAAGACGTTCAGCTTGTATCCGATCGAATGCTTCATCACGAAGAACAGCTTCATCCTCAAATGTGATTGGCAGATATCGAAGTAAAGGGCCAAAAGACCAATTGAGGAGGAATTGGTAAAGAGCAGTAAGTAGTAAAGCCACAATCATAATGATTGCCTGAGGAGTAAGTGAATCACCTTGCTCATCTTGAGTCAAGAAGAACAAACCGATGAGGCATAATTCCATAACATATAAACCAGTAAATGTCTGGTTGATAGCACGTGGGTATAGAAGTCCTCCTGTATCGATCCTGAATCGAGACACATAAAGCATATTGTAACGATTCGCAATCCAAAGAAGTGTGAAAGTAATGATGACGAAAATTATGATAACCGGCGTAACCACACAATAAATTAAACCAATACAGGCGAAATTAGTGTAAACAGGGAAGAATGATCCCCAGGTCACAGATGGAAGTGTTGTATTTCGGGTCCACTTTTGCCGAGCAGTATTGTCGAAAATCTTTGGTAAAACGAACCAGAAAATGAGAGTCGTTAATTGCAGGAGTGTACCCGAGCTCACAGAAAATGCTTGCAGAATCATGTAAGAGAAGAAATAGTTCGCCGCCTTTGGTAATTGTTGTGCAAGTGTTTCGGGTATAGAGGTAATATCATTGGACCATGATCCAATTGTAGCTACCGCACCACCAGCGATAGACACAACCAAGAAAACTTGGACAAAGAGAAATGCAAAATAATAAGTTTGAACCAAACCTTGCTTCTCATTGCCAGTTTGTGAACCTTGAACAAAGGCAAGATAACCCAAAATTGTTGGTACCAACGATAGCAAAATACTGAGCACAATGGCGGGCAAAACACCTGCTACGGCTTGAAGAACCTTTTCGGGTATAACCTTGAGCCAATGAAGCCAAGATTTGGTATTGACCAAAGAAGATATTTGGGATAGAGATGATGTCCATGCGACAGGAATCGACCATAAAATAATCATACCAAGAACGACGGCAGTAATGACAGCGGTTCTGAGCCAAGCCTCCCACCATTTGATAGACATATTATCCCAAAGGACATCATTAGGCGAAATCTCAACAGTGCGTGGTGCCATTTGCTTTGGAACATGGTAGGTAACAGATTGACAAGCCATATGTGCAGCTACTTGATGATTGAATTGAATAAAGGCCGAGTTCATGAGAGGAAATCTCTCGGGAGACTTTTGATCCAATTCGATCTCAACGTTTAGCTGAGCGAGCTGTTCACGACACCAATATATTGTATCGACTTTTGGACTGATTCCAGGAATTCCAAAGAACCAATCAGGAGTCCAACTGAACCTGGCCAGTCTATGTGTTGGCCTGTCCTTCTCCTTTAGATAGCGCTGCCAAGCTGCGGTCGTTGCATTTTCCTCGTATTCCTCGTTGAAAGCCTTCGGATATTCTGCACCTGGTCCATCGTCTGAGTTTAGGAAAGGCACGATATCCTTAAATACCTGCCACGCACTCTTCTTTGGCGGGGCACCGGTTGCAACTCTTGACTTTGGCCCATCGCTTTGGGTTAATGGAAATTCATCATCATCTTCATATCCTGTTGGGATTGGAGATGGAAACCCGCCAGCGGGACCTTTCCAGAATTTCCACCAATTATTAGTTTGAAAGGCGTCATTAGTTCCATCTCCTCCATACTGAAAGCCATTTCTTCGTACGGTGTTGCCTTGCAACTTTCTATCCCCATCATAACTTCGAGGATCACGGTCGGATGTTGACGGGCGTTCCTCTGCTTGCTTCTCAGCCTCCCGGTTCTTTTCATCATCCGCACCAGATCCATACGGTTTGGGAGGTGGTGCTCGTGTTCTATATCTTCCATATTGATCATATTCGTCATCTTCCGGTATCGATGGTGCGTCAAGACTTACGAAACCATTACCATTGGTTTCTTCAATTGTATCATCCAAGTCTCTGCCGAGTCCTAAAACACCTCCAAAAGCAGTACCTCCTGCCTTTCCAACCGCGTCCACACCTTTGTTTAAGCCTTGTCCAACTACATCGAAACCTTGTCCCATAGCGGCGAGGGGATTGCCAAGCTTGAATTTTTTCGAACTGCGTCGCTTATGTTGTCGAGCTTGTTCCCGCCTCTCCAATTCTGCCTCCTCGTCTATTGCATCATCTACAGTATGAGGAGCTTCCTCGCCAGTCGCAACTCCGCCGCTTTGCGCCAATTCTGCCGCTCTCTCATTTTCGCGTTTGATTTTCGCGGCTTTCTCTTCCTTGGTCAGTTTGCGATTCGATTCCTTAGCTCTAGCCTTCTCGTCCTTCTCTGCTTGTTTTCTCTGGGCTTTCTTTGCGGCTCTAATCAGCTCCGTCTCGGCTGCCTCCAGTTTCAAATGGATTTTGTCCCGAAGATGTATCTTCTTCAATAATTCATCATAATTTCGATTGATCCAAATATTCCTAATTCCTCCAGGGAAAACGTCGTAAAGTCCAGCGAGAGCTTCTTTCGTCAGCCATTTATCCGGAATGGCACTGACAAGGACAGTAGTTGCTGAAGCTCTCAGTCGATGTTCTGCAGATGTCAAATAATCTTGTCGTACTTTGATATACACTCGTAACTCTGCAAAAAATACACCGCAAACCCACATGATGACCAGCAGAGCAAGCACCAGATGTGCCCAGTATCTACTAGTCTTGCTAGGCTGTACATTAGTCCAAGCCAATTGGTCCAGTCCGGTTACATTTGGATTCGAAGAGACTTCTGTCTTGTTTTTGTCGTTTGCATATTGTAAAGCCCAATCTCCACCTCTGCCTCCAATATAGTTCATGGGTACAAGAATTGGTATGATAACGACAGCCATAGGTATGAAGATGACCAGAAGGGTCTGAAGGTATCGAAGGAAAAAGTAAGCGTCCAAGCCACATTTGTTGATAACTTCTCGATCTCGAAATTGAAAGATGGTGAATAGCCATCCCCACGGACTTCTAGGAGGTGGTTCTGTTCGTTCTTTTTCGGGGACCAAATAGGTCTTTGGTTTGCTATACTTCAGTCAGTAAAGTCCCTCAAGAGTGTGCATCTACAGAGCGCAGATCGCCACATGTAAAATCCTCCCAACTTACAAGATCCGTGCAAGCTTGTTCTTCAACAGCATAAAAGCTATCATCTGTACACCAAAAATGATGGCAGAAGATGCCATTGCCGTCAGAAGAGCGACCAGACTAATACCCTCGGAGCCTTGTGCGGCAGTCGTCGTGGTTGAGGACGCTGAGGTAGAGGTCGTCGTGGCATTGCCAGTCAAAACTGAAGACATGTTGAGTAACGTTGAACACCTTAACGATGCATAAGAGAAAGTATTTATTAATCCACCTAAGATGTATGGGTAGTAATGAGTGGTGTTTGTGATATCATTAATAGGTCGTTGTCGTTGTCGTTTTCAATATTGGTGTCGATATCGATGTCAGTATTGGTATCAGTATTGGTATCAGCATTGACTTATTAGAATCGGTATCAGGATCGGTATCGGTGTGGAAAAGAATGAATTAGAAGGAAATCAAAAGATAGTAGAAGAGAAGTATTTAGTTGGAAGGAAACTAGAAATACAATTGAATCATCTAGGTCATGCCAACACCAAAGCGAATGACAATGCCAATGCCAATGCCAGTACCAATGCTAAAATGCTAAAATGCTGGTCTTGTTTACCATTTGGGTGCTTGTGATGGTATGGCGGCCTGTTGATGATATGTCCGAAGTTGTCTCAATGGTCCACCATACATATATACATATATACACAGATGGGTAACTGATGAGAGGATTATCCCAAATCCCAAATTGAGTGGAATGATTCGTTGATCGTAAATTAAAAGGAGCAAACATGGATATAAGGTTAAATCACACCTTGGATTCACATTGGAATGACTAGACATGACATCACGAATCACACTTAACCGTTACTTAACCGTTACTTATTATTATACACTTCACCTTCTTTACCCACTCTTTACCCCCCCCTTCCCCTGAGATGCGCTTATCTTTATATCAAAGAATGATCGTCTACCAGTCATTTCGATTAGGGGTTATAGAGACGACACAAGAGGCGTTGGTCATAGGGAACTTTATTTGCTGTAGATGTAAGTCAGGGAATCCTTCTTTTCTTTGGGAACTCTTTAGATATGTATGATATACGGTTACTACGGAGTACTACGGAGTACATTTCAATACATCCACATATATATATGTCAGTAGCTGCGGATGATCTTGATATTGATAAGAACTCAGATAAAGACACCCAAAAATCCAAGCCACTGTCGCCATCAAGCATCGGAGACATCCATTCTAATCCTACCTAGGTAGACAAAAGATTATGTTCAGCCACTCAATTACCTAGGTACACTCACTCGCTCACTTATACGTACGAAGTATCCATACCAGCTCAGGCATGCGAGAGGCAAAAAAAAACTTGTATTTTCAGGGTTCAATCAAGCTTTCCCCCTTGAGGCTTCAATCAGGACGATAAAGTTGTGTGTACAACGAACGATACTGCAGTTCTATAAATTTATATCAGCCCATCCTCAATTTAATGTTGGTATTCTTCACAGAACGCAAAGAGAAGAGGAGACCTCGGAAGAATTCGTGGTGCTATTTCATGAGAGTTCGTGGGGGATCATGGTATATGTGTATGAATGAGTATACTGGTGTAGAATCTACAATTAACCTTACGGTATACGTACTCATCAACATCCCCAATCGAGATAAATTTTCAAATAAATCATGAATGAAGGACCAGAATAGTAACCCAGTGGCTTTATACATATCAAGATTTTAATATCTACTGTTCTGAGGATCGTATAGATACCCCAAGTATACATCTCAAGTATAAGGGGAGAGGAAGCATTCAACGACAGCATTCGAACTTAACCTCTTTTTTTCCTGCGTCTCCTTCCTAGAGATATGATGAAAATATATAAATAATGATTTTTAAAACTATCGAATGGAAATGAATAATTACTAGTATCGAAATGAGCACTATTACTCTTGGAAGGAATTTAATATACAAATTCTCTCTCCCTCATCCTCTTCCTCTTCCTCTTCCTCGCTCAACAAAGACCCTTTTCTATCAACCTAACCCCGCCTTCTATATACTACTCATGATTATCTCAACCCTCACACTCAATCCTCACCCCCAACTTTCCCCTCCCCTCCACATCCCTAATGACTAGGAGCCGTCTTTCTCACCGCAACACTAATACTCGAACCATCATCAATCTCCTCCGCATTCCACTTCAACTGCCACACCCCATCACAAACCGGCGTCGCATAGAAATTCGACACAATTTTCTCCGTGCTCGGATTCTTCCACATGGCCCAATTTCCAAACGCGATAAATCCCTTGGTGGTACCATTTCCAGCAGTTGATGCGCTAAGCCCCTTGGTGGTACTATTCCCAACAACCGCTCCGGTAAAGCCCACGTTGGTGAGCCCGCCAGAGGATGGATTGATGACGAGTGCGGATGTGGTCGTGTTGGTCAGCGTCACGTTGCTGCTACCGCTGCTGGGTGCGACGATCCATTCGCTGGAGGAGGTTGGTGTGACTGAAAGAAAAGATGTTAGTTGGATTTGAAGACGGTTTGTGGGAGAATGAATGTGCTTGTGGGTGATGGAAATTCTTACATGTGATGTTTGCGTTGACTTTGGAGTCAGCGGGAACAGTGTTGCCGATTAATGCATTTCCTGTTTGTTCAATTAGTTTTGTGAAACCAGTAGATGGTAACGCAATTGTTGACTTACCGTCAGAGTAGTATACTGGAAGGCCACCAATGCCAGTGCCATACGCATATAGATGGAATGAGTCGGTAGGACTAGAAGTACGTTTTTGAAGAACAGCAGCAGATGCTGTCAGTCCTCCGAAGAGGAACAGGAGTGGAGATGCAAACTTCATGTTTTCTCAAGTTTGTAAAGAGAATGAATGTATAGTGATCAAACGAATGAAGATCCTTATACCAGAAGAGGACGAGGAGGGGATGAAATGGATGGAAGAACGAAAATTCGGGTATACAACAACTGATGTGGGAATACGAAGAACTTGCCGTTAATATTATATCGAACGGGAAGCCAAATATTAGGTCACCAAAGCTTGGGGCCGACTTGTAAAAATCCCTTCTCATCTTTATCATGCCCAATAGAAAAGCTTTTCAATGCAAGAACTATCTTGGGCCTTTGCTAGTCAGGAGAAAGTATCTGACCCTGTGGAAGCTTGAGCCATAATGGGGATAGATGCACAATCAATAACGCGGGATGATAAGAACGAAAGTCAGTGCAATGGCGCACCCACCCATCAAGGGTGTTTTCGTCAGCCTGGTCGATCATATGGAATAATTAGTTCACGCCACATGGTGGTTGGATGTGATAGTGAGAGACGTGCAAATGTACGCGGTTCTCGATCCGAATTTAGTTGCGTTGTGGAGTGGCTCGAGAGTGCTCATACCACAATCCCAAATACGATCTGCACAGGTATTGATGGGAAGAATATCCCTCGTTAGATCTCAGAGATTCTAACTGAAAGGGCGTAAGTGATTAGACGGCAAATTTTCCGACAGTCCGAGCCATTGATATCGAGGCCGATTTGATCGATATGGTCAAAACCCTAAATATAGATTTCTGTTTAATGAAAAAGTGTATTTAGTATTCAGGAGTGTGTGAATAAAAATCAATATTATTTGTCATTATATTACTTTTATAATTCAATACTCTTTCTTTCTTTTAAACTTTATAAATACTAATATATTAATTCTTTATAAATATTAAACTTTCTTAATTTTTTCTTATTTATTTTATATAATTTCATTTATATAATTATAATAATTCAATCTTAAATTTTATTAACTTCATATAAAGAATTAATTTATAAATAATATAATAAATAATATAATAAATAATATAGTAAATAATATAGTAAATAATATAGTAAATAATATAGTAAATAATATAGTAAATAATATAGTAAATAATATAATTTTTATAATTTTTATAATTTTTATAATTTTTTTTAAATTCAATATTTAAATTGAAATTAGAATTATTAATAAATACTTTAATATTTAAAGATTTAATTAAAAGTTCAGAATTAACTATAATAATTTTATATTTAAAAATAAAATAATTATATGTGATTTTATTCTATTATTTAATAATAAAGAAATAAAAGAGCTTTTAAATTAATAATTATAATATATTTATAAAATATATTAGAAATATATATTTATTATTTAAATTTTATAAAAAGTCTTTATTAAAAGAATAATATAAATAAGATTAATGTTAATTTAATATTCTAAAAGATAATATGAAATTAAATTATATTTAAGAATATAATAAAAGATTATTATATATTTATTTTTAAATAAAAAAGAAGTTTATTTTATAATATAATATTTATTTTTTTAAAATTATAAAATATATTTATATTAATATTTTATATCTATTTTAAAAATGTATTATTTAATATACTTTAAATTCTAAATTCTAAAAACATTTATAAATATATAAAATAATTTTAATTTATTTGTAGAAAATATTAAATTTTTAAATCAAATAATATTTAATTAGTTAATAAATTAGTTTTTATTAAAATCAAAATTTATATAGATATTAATAGTAGTAATAATAAATTTATAATCAATTCGGTTTATATAGCTATATTAAGACTATGTGATGCGCTTATATATGATTCTAATTGAATAAGGTAGATAGGAAAAAGAAATAAAAACTCACTTTTTTTCGAACTTCTTTATTAAAACCTATAAGTAACCTTCTAAGTAATTCTTTTAAATTCTTTAAGTTATTTATATTATAAATCTATTATATCTAAAAATCTTTTTATTATTAAATTCTTTAATATATTTATGGAAACTTTATACTTTTTATTTTATTATAATAATTTTCTTCTTTCTATTCAATTCTTTTTAAAATATTATAAAAGTTATAGTTAGTTATAATATTGTATTCTTTTTAAAAGATTGTTTTTGCTTTTTAATATTTCAAATTCTTTAGAAATCTTATTATAACTTTTAATTTATTACTTATAAGTCTTATATTTATTTTCTTCTATAATATGTTAATAATATATAATTTCTTTTTAAAGTCTAATATTTCTTATTTCTTTTTTTTCTATTGGATTACTTCATTAATATAGAATATAATATATTAGGGTCTATCGAATTATTTTATTGATATAGAGAACAAGATTATATTATAAAGCTAAGTGGTTGAATAAAATCAAAATAGTAAGTATGATAATATTAGAATATTGTTACTTTAATAATACATGCTTTGTATTGAATGATTATTATTTTTTCAATTATAATTAATAGTATATTATCTGCTATATAAGATAATATTGAAATTAGTATTTTATAATAATATTATATACTAATTTAAAATACTATATACTTAAATTAATATATTATAAATATTTTTTAAAAGATTTAGCTTTTCTTTTTATTATATAGAATAGCTATAAATATATTAATAGAATATTAAATATTATATTAATAAATATTTTATAAAATATTTCTTAAAAAAAGTAGGGCTTTTTAAAGAATTTTTATTCTTTATTTTTTTACATTCAAAAACCTTTTTCTTTATAATTGAGATTTTTTTATAATATTTTTAAGTATTGAAAAGTTTGGATTATTATAAGAATTTATAGTTTAATCTTTTTTATTAATTATATTTGATATAATAAATTTATTATTAATAGTATTAATATTAGTAGTTCTAATATAAATATATTAAATCTTTCTTCTTAATATTAATAATAATAT